TTTATTTTTTATTTTTGGTTACTGTTAATCATTTTGAAAAAAATGGCAGTTTTCTCATATTTTTCTCAAAACTTTGAAAAGCTATAACTTCCTCAATTTAAGTTCAAAATTTATGCTATTTATATCGTTGGAAAGATCTCGAGAAGATCTATCCAAGCATATCAAATGAGAATTATAAAACATGACGTGGAAGAAGTTATCATATGATGAATTTTCAAATTTTACCGATTTTAATACAAAAATCAAATGTACATATAGATTTCGAAAGGTCATAACTTCTTCATTTCAAGCCCAAAATTTATGTTATTTATACCTTTGGAAAGGTTTCAAGAAGATCTATCCAACCATGCCAAATAAGCATCACGAAACATAGTGTGGAAGAAGTTATCATGTGATGAAGTTTCAAATTTTACCAATTTTCACTCCAAAAATCAGATTTATATCTAAGTTTCGAGAGGTCATAACTTTCTCATTTCAAGCCCAAAATTAATGATCTTTATATCATTGGAAAGGTATTGAGAATATCTATCCAACCACCAAATGGACAATATGAAACTTAATGTATAAAAAGTTATCACGTGATGAAGTTTCGGATTTTATCAAGTTCCATGCAAAAAATTTAGATTATCGTCCAAATTTCAAAACTTCATAACTTCTTCATTTCATGTCCGAAATTTGAGTTCTTCATATGGATGGAAAGCTTATGAGAAGACCTTTCTAACCATACTAATCTTACTACATGAAGATAGATGAATAGATGGCAATAAATTATCAAATGATGCCACTAAATACCACATAAGGTTTCAAAACTTTGCACATAAGATTCATAACCCAATTCTATCATGTAATGGCATAATTAAGCATGAAATATAATAAGGAATTCAACATTATGGCTCTGATACCAATGTAGGAAAATCGTAGCATGCTTTGACATGAATTTCGGGTCGGTAAACTTACTTGAAATGATGAATTTCAAGATCTTTGTGTGGTTGAATCACCTTGCCTTCAAATCTCCAAAATCTGCATTTTCTTGTACTCCAATGGTCCAAATCCCGATCATAATGGAAGGAGATTATTATCCACAATCTAAGTACCATTTTTTGTGAGACTTCATGCCAAAAATGTGGTTTTAGGAGCTTTTCAATTTGGTGTGAATTTACATACGAATTTTCACCATATTTTTCATACCATTTTCTTGTTCCTTTTTTCACAACTTCTATCTAGAAGTTTCAAATGGTTACTTGGGAGTTATAGGTTTGAATTCTAAATTCAAACCACTCCCTCCAACCCTTATAAAATCCTACAGGTCGGGTCACCCCACATGGACGACCCATTATCGGTATTTTCCAACAATTTCTAAAATTTTATATGCGATCAACAAAATTTGGTGGCTTAAGAGTTAAGATGTTTCCTTTTTTAAGGTCACTAATATGAGCATGTTGAAAAATCATATGAAGATTGATGTGTGATGGATAGAAAATTCATCACTCACACATTGTGAGAGATTATAACCCACTTTTCATCTGCCTATAATGATAGACAAATTCATTGACCATTTTAGAGTTATGAATTGACATATTTTAACCGAAACTCGTTTAGATCAACAAAATGTCAAAATAAAATAATAGAATTGATTAAGTCTAAATTGAAGCTTATCCATATTTCGTAATCAGTTGCGTTATATTAATTAAATGATTACATTTCCATGCAACGTAGTAGAATAATTTTGTCATACCATATAATATTTCACGTGACATGGATTCCTCAATACATTCTAGATGTCAATCTTGAAAGGCAGTGTGAATTAACTAGCCCCTGTTTTGCAGGAATTAAAATTAGATTTTTAGTAGATTTTGATAAAAAAAAAATAATAAATTAAATGTGTGGTTGAAAAGTTGCAGGGCCACGTAATATGTGGTTGAAATTGATTGTTTGACTTTGAATTAAATTAAAATTTAATTTAAATCATTACCAAATAGGGCCTTAATCTAAGTGGATTAATGATAAACTAAAAAAAAAATTTAATTTATCTTATCCTGATCGTATCAAATAATAATATCTTGACGTTTGTCATCGTTAATGGAAACCTAATGGGCCATATACAAAAAAGCAAAATTGAAAAATTGGAATTGATGATGAACCTAGTCCAAGTGGACATGGTGATGGAATTCCAAGATTGTTCTCATGGTGTGAATTTTTGTGAAGGTTAGAGTTTTGGATAACTATGGTATGCCGAGATCCTTGTATATTAGATTCAAGATCATTCCAACTTATAAAAATCATCAAAGTATGTATCGTATCACATATTTTATGAAAACATAAAAGTCATTCGACTTTTAAGTAACAAAACTTATTTATTTTTTATTGTACATATATGAATAAGGATAAAGCTACTTTGACAGAAAGCTTGACGCAATTGCATTTGGAAGAAAGTGATTGGAGGAAAAAGCTGACCCTGTTTTAGATTGTCAAATAATAGAACGTTGCGTGACATTATGTCAAACTTTATACTTCTGTAATATGATTACAAAAGTAAACACCCAAGAATAACGAAGTACTTGTTTATTATCATTAAATCAACTTCAAATCTTCCTCGTTTAGCTCATTCTTATCACTTGGGTCTAGAGTCCACACGTTGAGGCAACATGTGAAATCTGTGGATCATAGACAGCGGGAATATAAATGCATCAATTTTTTTGCTGAATTTTGTGTCCCTATAATAAATTTAGACACGGGACCTCTAATCTAGTACTAGGACTCATTTGGTCAACAAAAATTACTATAGTTTGTACAATTAAGTATTTAATTCTTTGTTATAATCTATGGTGGTTGGCTACTTTTTGCTTTATTTATAAATTCCAATTTTATTTAACCAACAACTCAAAATTCATTTCTTTCTTCTACAAACTCTATTTTGCTAAACAAAAGAATGTATAATCATTTGAATGGAAGATCAAGTTTTGGATCAAAGTAATTATAATAAATTAATCTCATCCAAGAATATTATTTTATTGATCAAATCATCTAAAATTTTCATTAGTGGAATGGAATCAAAATTCATTTAGTTCTGATGCCCATTAAAAAGAGGTTTTTCGATTTTTTTTATTCTCTCTCTCTCTCTCTCTTTTTTGAGCATATGAGTTTTAGAATGGTAATTTTTTTTTTTTTGGAGAATGTGTGTTTAAAAAGTAGAATTTTTTTTTTTTTTTTAAGTTTACGTGTTGTGTGAATGTATGGGTAAAATGAGTTTGAGAAAAGAAAAAGAATTTTGGTTTAGTGATAGAAAAACATGGGCTTAATCTTTTTTTATTTAAAAAAATTATCAAATAGGTAACACGCGTAACTCTACGTTTTCTGGTTATCCTACAAGATTGGCCCTTCAAAAGGCAAAACTCTCATCATAATTTTGCTATCTAGCCTTTTATCGTTAGATTAGAGTAGAGTTCTTAGGAGAGTATAGAGTATTGTTATACGATAGTCTCGAGTTTACAATTGTTAATAAATAGATAGCGATAAAACTTGAAACTAAATATTTTTTCTAACTCCAGTACAATGCTGACAATTCATCTAAAACTTTAAACAAATAAATGTGTTGCACATATTCATTTAAATTTTGTATTCTATCATATTTGAAATATATTTGAAATTTGATTTGAAAAATATTTTTATGTTATTTCACGTAATCTGTGAATTTATTTATGTTTTTCCTTCAACAAATCTCTTTCATAAATAGACAATAGTAAAAGTTAAAATAAAAATATTTATTTGCCCAATTAAATAATATTTTCTTTGCATGATATATTCAATAAATTAATATGCAGGCAACCTCGTATTTCAAAAGTTCAATAATATAGAAAAATAGCTGACATGTTTCCATCTTTAATTATTAAAAAAATAAATTATTAATTATTCTTCTAGATTTCTATTTTTTTAATGTCAAATATCATTGCTTTTCCAATTAGAAAAAATCATTTTGACTGTAAAACAAAGAGAAAAAATACAATCACGTGGTGTCACAGAAAATCTGGGATTACCCAAGTTACAAATTGACCCTCTTTTAAAATGAAAAAATTGATCATCAATCTTTCATTATTATAAAATTAGCCCTCAATTATAAAACTCATCCTAATCTTTTTAAAATTGTTACACAGTCCTCATTGAAATATATTTAAATTCGAATTTTCGAATATCAATTCATGTTGGTAAGCATAAACTTATCTTTAGAGAGTTAGTTAGCATGGCAAATGCATATGACCAGGACTTGCCCCATCGAGTATCGGGCATAAACAAGGAACATAGTTCTGCTCAATTTTTTTTTTAATATTTTCGTTTCTTTTTTAAAATGTAAGTTATTGAAAATGACAAACAAATTAGTTAAATCTCCCCACCTCCCAGAAATCCCAATTGAACTGAGGGACGAGAGGGTCGATCCAGTCTTATCTTGACTTGTTTTCGTCCCTAAAGTTAGACATGTGATGGCTACTACACAATTTTCAATGAATTTAAATAATAATATTATTCATAGTTGTTCACTATCGATAGTTTCCATATCTGACAGTTTGTTATTTGAGACACTAATTTTCTATAATTTTATTACCTTGAATAACAAGTTAATCCTCAAATAACAAACTGTCAAGTAAAGCGATTATCAATAGTGAACGGTTATGAATAACATTACTCGAATTTAAAATAATTTTCATTATTGAGGATTGGTTATCTAATTATAGTTAAGGGTCGAAGACTAATTTTCTTGTTTTAGAAGTCAATGAGCAACTTGCTATCATACCAATTAGTTTGGGAACAAAGAGTACAATTTTAGCAATTAAACACACACAGTGTGTGTATGTGTTTTTATTGGATTTCTCTAACCTTCTTTATTGACCGAAGGCATAATTATTTCTCCCATTCCATTGTGCATAAATCTTCACTTCTGCATCAATTCAGCATCTCCAAAATCTCTCTCTCTCTCTCTCTCTAATACACAGATTGATATGATGTCAATGGAGATGATTTCGAGCTCTTCCAATAAGAGCTTCAACGGCAAAATATGGAGAAGAAAAGGTTACAGTTACAGCAGATTATCCACTGGAAAAACAACTAGGTTTGGGTCTGGAAGCAAAGAAAAGCGTTCATGGCGGATTAAAATAACCCGAAAACTGCGTTTGAAACTCAGTTCGCCATTGAAATTGTGGCGCAAGTTGAAGAATGCATACATCGACATGATGCTTAAGCTGGCACGAAACACAGGCTCTGGAATTAATCTTTTGGGTTCGAAAAGAATCCCTAAAGCTCGACAGATTCCAAATGGGTATTCAAGAACTGAATTTGAGAACAGATTGGTGCTTGAGATTTACAAAAATATGGTGGCTTCTTATGAATTGGGTTATAACAGATAAGCTTGAAATGAATATTACGTTTTCTTTTCTTTTTCTCAATACTGTCTTCAAATGCTTATTCAAATATTATTTATCAGTGCATCTTTTGGTGAATATCTTCAAAGCCTCGGCTCTTTTTTAGTGTTCTTCAAAAGAAAAAAACTACAGCAGTGAGTAAGCACCGAAATTGGATCCAAAAGCAAAAACAAGATGACCAATGAAAAATTAATTCAAATACGATTTTCTTCTTGGTTGGCTTTTGTGGCTCACACCCTAGTAGGGATGGCAATTTGAGACCCTATGGCCTCGGCCTACTAGAATTTGTTTCAAGCCAAGTACTGCCACAGTGGGCTCGACCTCCCACAGACTGTGCCGGGATAGGACCGGGTCGACCCTTTGCCAGTCTTCTCTTACTCTTTACTCTTATATGCTACAAGTCAAGTTTATTTTATTGTATACCTTGAATAGATCCATACAATATATTTGTATTCTTGGTCATCATGCAAATTATATAGAAAAAGTCCTAAAATATATGGAAAAATGATACGCATATTTCAACGTAGTGGTTATTTATCACTAGAAGTGAAAAGATACTCGATGTAATAATTAATGAATGCTTATTGATGCTAATTTACCATAGTTCATGACTTGGGACGAGTTTGTCAAGACGATGACGTGTATTATTTGATCTTCGCTGAGGTCATCAATCATTTTATGTATTCAGGCAGGGGCGGATTCAGCCCGAACTTTTAGCTATGGTGGACTTTGACTTTGACCATTGACCGTGAACAATCAACGATCATAATAGCCCCGTCCAGTTGGCGTCCGATCGTTTATTAAAATTAAAGATTATTCAATATACATGTAAATGCACTAAAACATAAAAATTATATTTTATATGATTTTATATGTAAATGCACTAAAACCGTCGACAATCAGCGATCGTAATTAAATCTATTGTTTCATTATGAATTCCTCAGATAACGTGCCATCAAAATTAGCATCACCAGGAACACATGTTATACCAACTAGCAGGTTATGTTTGTTGTTCATCTCATAAACGATAGGGACCCGTTGAAACTTTCATTAAGGACAATCAATTTATCATATCTAATCCACCCTAATTTGCTGTAAGCCATAGATGCAACTGCGATCAACAAAATTTGGTGGCTTAAGAGTTAAGATGTTTCCTTTTTTTAAGGTCACTAATATGAGCATGTTGAAAAATCATATGAAGATTGATGTGTGATGGATAGAAAATTCATCACTCACACATTGTGAGAGATTATAACCCACTTTTCATCTGCCTATAATGATAGACAAATTCATTGACCATTTTAGAGTTATGAATTGACATATTTTAACCGAAACTCGTTTAGATCAACAAAATGTCAAAATAAAATAATAGAATTGATTAAGTCTAAATTGAAGCTTATCCATATTTCGTAATCAGTTGCGTTATATTAATTAAATGATTACATTTCCATGCAACGTAGTAGAATAATTTTGTCATACCATATAATATTTCACGTGACATGGATTCCTCAATACATTCTAGATGTCAATCTTGAAAGGCAGTGTGAATTAACTAGCCCCTGTTTTGCAGGAATTAAAATTAGATTTTTAGTAGATTTTGATAAAAAAAAAATAATAAATTAAATGTGTGGTTGAAAAGTTGCAGGGCCACGTAATATGTGGTTGAAATTGATTGTTTGACTTTGAATTAAATTAAAATTTAATTTAAATCATTACCAAATAGGGCCTTAATCTAAGTGGATTAATGATAAACTAAAAAAAAAATTTAATTTATCTTATCCTGATCGTATCAAATAATAATATCTTGACGTTTGTCATCGTTAATGGAAACCTAATGGGCCATATACAAAAAAGCAAAACTGAAAAATTGGAATTGATGATGAACCTAGTCCAAGTGGACATGGTGATGGAATTCCAAGATTGTTCTCATGGTGTGAATTTTTGTGAAGGTTAGAGTTTTGGATAACTATGGTATGCCGAGATCCTTGTATATTAGATTCAAGATCATTCCAACTTATAAAAATCATCAAAGTATGTATCGTATCACATATTTTATGAAAACATAAAAGTCATTCGACTTTTAAGTAACAAAACTTATTTAATTTTCATTGTACATATATGAGTTAGAATAAAGCTACTTTGACAGAAAACTTGACAAAATTGCATTTGGAAGAAAATGATTAAAGGAAAAAGCTGACCGTATTTTAAATTGTCAAATAATAGAACGTTGCGTAACATTATGTCAAACTTTATATTTCTGTAATGTGATTACAAAAGTAAACACCCAAGAATAACGAAGTACTTGTTTATTATCATTAAATCAACTTCAAGTCTTCCTCGTTTAGCTCATTCTTATCACTTGGGTCTAGAGTCCACACGTTGAGGCAACATGTGAAATCTGTGGATCATAGACAGCGGGAATATAAATGCATCAATTTTTTTGCTGAATTTTGTGTCCCTATAATAAATTTAGACACGGGACCTCTAATCTAGTACTAGGACTCATTTGGTCAACAAAAATTACTATAGTTTGTACAATTAAGTATTTAATTCTTTGTTATAATCTATGGTGGTTGGCTACTTTTTGCTTTATTTATAAATTCCAATTTTATTTAACCAACAACTCAAAATTCATTTCTTTCTTCTACAAACTCTATTTTGCTAAACAAAAGAATGTATAATCATTTGAATGGAAGATCAAGTTTTGGATCAAAGTAATTATAATAAATTAATCTCATCCAAGAATATTATTTTATTGATCAAATCATCTAAAATTTTCATTAGTGGAATGGAATCAAAATTCATTTAGTTCTGATGCCCATTAAAAAGAGGTTTTTCGATTTTTTTTATTCTCTCTCTCTCTCTCTCTTTTTTGAGCATATGAGTTTTAGAATGGTAATTTTTTTTTTTTTGGAGAATGTGTGTTTAAAAAGTAGAATTTTTTTTTTTTTTTAAGTTTACGTGTTGTGTGAATGTATGGGTAAAATGAGTTTGAGAAAAGAAAAAGAATTTTGGTTTAGTGATAGAAAAACATGGGCTTAATCTTTTTTTATTTAAAAAAATTATCAAATAGGTAACACGCGTAACTCTACGTTTTCTGGTTATCCTACAAGATTGGCCCTTCAAAAGGCAAAACTCTCATCATAATTTTGCTATCTAGCCTTTTATCGTTAGATTAGAGTAGAGTTCTTAGGAGAGTATAGAGTATTGTTATACGATAGTCTCGAGTTTACAATTGTTAATAAATAGATAGCGATAAAACTTGAAACTAAATATTTTTTCTAACTCCAGTACAATGCTGACAATTCATCTAAAACTTTAAACAAATAAATGTGTTGCACATATTCATTTAAATTTTGTATTCTATCATATTTGAAATATATTTGAAATTTGATTTGAAAAATATTTTTATGTTATTTCACGTAATCTGTGAATTTATTTATGTTTTTCCTTCAACAAATCTCTTTCATAAATAGACAATAGTAAAAGTTAAAATAAAAATATTTATTTGCCCAATTAAATAATATTTTCTTTGCATGATATATTCAATAAATTAATATGCAGGCAACCTCGTATTTCAAAAGTTCAATAATATAGAAAAATAGCTGACATGTTTCCATCTTTAATTATTAAAAAAATAAATTATTAATTATTCTTCTAGATTTCTATTTTTTTAATGTCAAATATCATTGCTTTTCCAATTAGAAAAAATCATTTTGACTGTAAAACAAAGAGAAAAAATACAATCACGTGGTGTCACAGAAAATCTGGGATTACCCAAGTTACAAATTGACCCTCTTTTAAAATGAAAAAATTGATCATCAATCTTTCATTATTATAAAATTAGCCCTAATTATAAAACTCATCCTAATCTTTTTAAAATTGTTACACAGTCCTCATTGAAATATATTTCAAATCGAATTTTTGAATATCAATTCATGTTGGTAAGCATAAACTTATCTTTAGCGAGTTAGTTAGCATGGCAAATGCATATGAACCGGTCATGCCCAATTGAGTATCGGACATAGTTTTGTTCAATTTTTTTTAATATTTTCTTTTCTTTTTTAAATGTAAGTTGTTGAAAATGACGAAGGAATTGAAATTAGTTTAATCTCCCCCACCTCCTAGAAATCCCAATTGAACTGAGGGACGAGAGGGTCGATCCAGTCTTATCTTGAGTTGTTTTCGTCCCTAAAGTTAGACATGTGATGGCTACTACACAATTTTCAATGAGTTTAAATAATAATATTATTCATAGTTGTTCACTATCGATAGTTTCCATATCTGACAGTTTGTTATTTGAGACACTAATTTTCTATAATTTTATTACCTTGAATAACAAGTTAATCCTCAAATAACAAACTGTCAAGTAAAGCGATTATCAATAGTGAACGGCTATGAATAACATTACTCGAATTTAAAATAATTTTCATTATTGAGGATTGGTTATCTAATTATAGTTAAGGGTCGAAGACTAATTTTCTTGTTTTAGAAGTCAATGAGCAACTTGCTATCATACCAATTAGTTTGGGAACAAAGAGTACAATTTTAGCAATTAAACACACACAGTGTGTGTATGTGTTTTTATTGGATTTCTCTAACCTTCTTTATTGACCGAAGGCATAATTATTTCTCCCATTCCATTGTGCATAAATCTTCACTTCTGCATCAATTCAGCATCTCCAAAATCTCTCTCTCTCTCTCTCTCTAATACACAGATTGATATGATGTCAATGGAGATGATTTCGAGCTCTTCCAATAAGAGCTTCAACGGCAAAATATGGAGAAGAAAAGGTTACAGTTACAGCAGATTATCCACTGGAAAAACAACTAGGTTTGGGTCTGGAAGCAAAGAAAAGCGTTCATGGCGGATTAAAATAACCCGAAAACTGCGTTTGAAACTCAGTTCGCCATTGAAATTGTGGCGCAAGTTGAAGAATGCATACATCGACATGATGCTTAAGCTGGCACGAAACACAGGCTCTGGAATTAATCTTTTGGGTTCGAAAAGAATCCCTAAAGCTCGACAGATTCCAAATGGGTATTCAAGAACTGAATTTGAGAACAGATTGGTGCTTGAGATTTACAAAAATATGGTGGCTTCTTATGAATTGGGTTATAACAGATAAGCTTGAAATGAATATTACGTTTTCTTTTCTTTTTCTCAATACTGTCTTCAAATGCTTATTCAAATATTATTTATCAGTGCATCTTTTGGTGAATATCTTCAAAGCCTCGGCTCTTTTTTAGTGTTCTTCAAAAGAAAAAAACTACAGCAGTGAGTAAGCACCGAAATTGGATCCAAAAGCAAAAACAAGATGACCAATGAAAAATTAATTCAAATACGATTTTCTTCTTGGTTGGCTTTTGTGGCTCACACCCTAGTAGGGATGGCAATTTGAGACCCTATGGCCTCGGCCTACTAGAATTTGTTTCAAGCCAAGTACTGCCACAGTGGGCTCGACCTCCCACAGACTGTGCCGGGATAGGACCGGGTCGACCCTTTGCCAGTCTTCTCTTACTCTTTACTCTTATATGCTACAAGTCAAGTTTATTTTATTGTATACCTTGAATAGATCCATACAATATATTTGTATTCTTGGTCATCATGCAAATTATATAGAAAAAGTCCTAAAATATATGGAAAAATGATACGCACATTTCAACGTAGTGGTTATTTATCACTAGAAGTGAAAAGATACTCGATGTAATAATTAATGAATGCTTATTGATGCTAATTTACCATAGTTCATGACTTGGGACGAGTTTGTCAAGACGATGACGTGTATTATTTGATCTTCGCTGAGGTCATCAATCATTTTATGTATTCAGGCAGGGGCGGATTCAGCCCGAACTTTTAGCTATGGTGGACTTTGACTTTGACCATTGACCGTGAACAATCAACGATCATAATAGCCCCGTCCAGTTGGCGTCCGATCGTTTATTAAAATTTGATTAAATAAAATTAAAGATTATTCAATATACATGTAAATGCACTAAAACATAAAAATTATATTTTATATGATTTTATATGTAAATGCACTAAAACCGTCGACAATCAGCAATCGTAATTAAATCTATTGTTTCATTATGAATTCCTCAGATAACGTGCCATCAAAATTAGCATCACCAGGAACACATGTTATACCAACTAGCAGGTTATGTTTGTTGTTCATCTCATAAACGATAGGGACCCGTTGAAACTTTCATTAAGGACAATCAATTTATCATATCTAATCCACCCTAATTTGCTGTAAGCCATAGATGCAACACAAAATTATCATTAGTTTTGTTCTCATTCTCCTACTACGCAGTAACAACTACTACAAAAATGACTTGCTAAAAAATGTATTGCAGTAAATTCAAATGCTAACGTTTGCAACCATTGAAGCACATGCATTCATACAAGGGTTCAGTGGAAAAAATTACAGAAGTGGAAAAATCATCAATTCACCTCACCTGCCAATATTTTGACACACAACGGTCAATGTAACTGTTTTCACCCATGTTTAACTCAGATTCCTTGTACCTAAATACGCATGGAGTAAAACCCCTTTAAGCACCCAAATTGAATACAAATACCTTTATTCAAATGGAGCAAGTGTTCTAAACTGCTCCAAATTGCTAGATTTATAGAAGTCGGTACTTCAATTTCATGCTTAAAATGAGTAATTTAAGTAAATGAGGTTTAGAACGCATACTTGTTCTCAATGCACTTGTTGAAACACGTGTGCGTAAGCCTGGATTAAAATAAACCCATCATCAAATAAATTTTGCAGGAAAAGGTGCACAAAATTGCAGGCATCAATAATGTAACCAAGATATAGTTGTCGTTAGCAAGTGCCAAGCATTCTAAGTTTTCATCTTTCAATCAGTTAAGCTCACAAGTCAGAAAGTTTTAATTGGTCCATTAACAAGCAACATCCAGGTTAAAATAAGTCGGGAAGAAATTCTTAACATAACTTTCAATTCAGCTCAGAAAAGACATAATTCTAGTGTGTCTAAATACCAAGTTGATTCAAGCTCTGCATTAACATTAAACCGCCAAAAAAAAAATATAATTTTCACTAGAAAGATGGAACATTAATGTTAATAAGAATTATATGCAGGCAAAAGGCAGGGTTCACCTACTTGTTGAACAAATCCACCCTGTATTCCATCTCTTTCTCTGCCATCCCAAATATCTACTCAAAAGTAAATGAAATTCTCAAAAATCACGAAAGCCATCGTCTAAATAATGGTAATAACAGCTCATACAGAGTATCCTGTATAAAATGCGAGAAAAAAATACCTGTTCTTTCTCATGGGCAGATGGGGAATTGCTCGAAGCCATTTGATCTGAGTGGAGTAACGCAGAGAACTCGGCGGGCGATAATTGATAGTTTTTTTTTTCCAAACCCTAAACCTCGATTCGGTTCATCTCAGAAGTCACTTCTATGGAAAAGTTCTTGAATAGTTAATTTCTTTAATGGCCACTAAACGTTTCAGTTAGTGTTACCTTGGTTACTGAACTTCAATTTTTTCAGATTCCCCACTTAACTTTACAAAATTTGTCATTTAGACCACCAACTCAGTTTCACGTCCATTTCTAACTGAACTTTCTATGATTCCGTGTGTGAAATTATAGGATTTAACTAAAAACATTTATGGTTTGATGACTTGGCATGCGAACAAGTAGGGGTTCTAATTAAAAATTGAACATAAAACTAAATTATAGT